CACTCGACAGAAGCGTATCAATCGGTGAGGATCATATTCCGCTGGTCGTCGGGGTTACTCGGGCGAACCTACGGGCAAAAGAAATAAGAAGAATGGGCTGGCAGCGGAGGGGTGGATATCTGAGAGACATAGAGCTCTTTCACACGACGATACGCGTATGCAGGATACCGATTGTACACATAATGTTATGGAAGCGTTCAGACGACGATACTCGCGAGATACAGTATCGCGATACTGATTTTCGGTATCCGCGGTTGGTCGGCCGCCGGCAACTTTTTCTGCGTCGGGGCGGCCGACGAAACATTGAAATAGATGCGAGTATTCACACGACGCTGCGCAGTATCGTCGAATTCGTTCACCTTCCTCATAAAAAAATTGTAGACATAATAATTGAAGAATTTACATGGATCGTTACAAAGTTCTTCGAATTAAATATGAAAAGCTCCCGTTTCTTCTCTTATATTATTAATAGGATGAACCCAATATTTTCTCTTAACTTTTCTCCTTTTAGTAGCTTTTTTATGTAGAAACCAAATGGATAAAGCTTCAATCTCATCCATTATTTCAGAAAGGTTTTCACTAACTAAGAACGCGTGTTTTTCAAACGAGAAGATATGTTTAACTGAAAAACAAATGATCAACACCGAGCTACGAAATTAGTTGGATACAGTATCGCATAAGTATCTTAATAGCAGATACGTATCGCATACGCGTATTGCGATACGCGTATCGTCGTGTGAAAAAGCTCTAAGTAATACAGAGCTCTAACTCGTAAACTATCGGCCGAATGGAACACTTCAAATATGGAAATTGCATGGTAAAATGGGGCTCATGTTTCAGCGATTTTGTCGAATTTTTAAGGAATTTTATGAAGGAATTTTTGTTAACTTTATTATTTAACGAGATATGATGGTCAAATTTCGTTTTTCAAATGGAACTATATATTTTTTTTTATACCATACGGTAGTACTTTTCAAGACGAGTTCATTAAGCTTGAATGTATTTACTCGATTTTTATTAGTTTTTAAGCTATAACGCTTCAAAGTTTGCTAATTTTCAAAGAGAAAACTCGGTTCGGTCCCATTGATGCAGTAAGCACCATGCGGTTCTTGAAATTGATACTGAGGGTCTCGTTTGGGATTCTGGGCCCAACGAAGGAAAATGGGAAGAATCCCAATATTCTGGGCCGTGTATAATGAGTATACAGAAATAAAATTCCTGCCTACAAATGCAATTTTTAATTTAAATCGTTAATTTTTAGCTTAACACGTTAGATATTTCGTAAGAAACTAATAAAAATTGATTTCTATAGCCGTCTTTGCGATCCAATATTGGTCTGTGCTTGACGACTATACTTGTAGCTTGATTCTCACGACACACATAGGTGCGCGGTCTGAAAAGAGGATGCCACAGCCGACTGGTTAAGGAGCAAAGCCACCTTGGACACTGAAAATCGTAGCTTTAACAATTTTTTTATTTTTAAACAATTGGTTTAACCTCTTCACGCCCTTGGCCACATATGTGGACGTTTAGTTTTTTATAATCATAATTACTGTCTATAATAAAAACAACAAAAATTTAATAATAACTTATTCACTAGAGAATTCCTCAACAAGAGGAGTAAAGATGTTATGGTTTGGCTGCACTGATAATGGTATTAGGTCTACCGGAAAGTTCTGTCCATTTCTAGAATGAAACAAAATAATAAATTTTTCACGCTTTGAATAAATTTGATCGAATAATATGGTTTTTATCATTATTTATGACATCTTGCCAGCGTGATCGCAATTTGTATATCGTTTTTAATGAATATACCCATACTTGTTGAAACTTGTTGTAACCGGATCGGACAGAACTTTCCGGTAGACCTAATATTTCCGATGTACAGGTAGAGATATAAGAAAAGCGTGAAGAAAAATCGTTCTTGAAGAGATTAAGGGAAGATCTATTTGCTGGCGTTTATTACTAGATATATTGAGTAATAAGAAAATTACTTTTACTTTTTGTTTTTATCTAAAATTTTGATGCTACAATAAACGAATAAAAAAATGCTGGCCACGTTGTTACAGAATACTCAATGTCAACTTCCAGATATCTCACAGTAAGAAGACGTGCCGATAGGTAGCAGTTGAAATTTGTAACTTAAAGTTTTAAGATTATAAGAAACGCGGATAAGAGTTCATTTTTAACCGACTTCGAAACGGAGGAGTTTACTCAATTCGACATATATATCTTTTTTACGCATTTGAATCTGTTCTTTCCCGTCGAAGAATTTAGTACAGGTACACTTTAATGTCATTCAACGCTACAAAACTAAATATGGTGCACTTTACGTCAATATCTCTCAAAATCTTCGTTAAACTTTTTTAAAGATTAAGTATCGTCAACGCCCTATATATAAAAGTCACCATGATAAATTTCATAATTTTCTTATCACACATTTATGAGGTATAAGGCAAAACAAAACCCTTATATAGAAGTTTGCTGTCATAATCTATCACTCATAATAAAGCAAATCAACGGCATTTTATACACATGACCTATAATAGACTGCCACTTAAAAGAAAGCATACTTCCAAAGCGGCATTTCAGGATATTTGTGTTGTATCGTCCTAAAGAAATGGGTACGTAGTTCTCCGATACACATTCTATTTTTTTAGAAAGTGGTGTTTTTACAGGGGTTTATTTTCGTTCTTGGGTTATTAGCATAGTTTGAAACGCATTTTTAACCAACTTTGAAAAGGAGGAGATTACTCAGTTCGACATATATATTTCTTTTTTTATATTGTAGGTTTCTAATAATTGATTTTATGTTAATTGTACATCTTCAGTTGTATACAATCAGCTCTCAATTGAGAGCTCATTACTCTCGTTAATTATCTTCTAACTAAGGGGATGCTACAGCCAAGATAACGACAATTTTGATGATGATGGAGTTAGTTTAGAGTTTGAATAATAACTTTCCGTAAAATATATTTCAATTAATATTTTTTCTAAACAACTAACAGTCGACATATCAAAATCTATAACTTCGATTTCTTTAAGAAATGTTGTACTAGCTATAAGATTGTGTATGAATTTTAATGAAATTTTACAATGTATAATGTTTATACTACATATTTATTATTTAAAACTAATGCATAGAATGTACATTTGGGAACATCGACCATCAGTTCTGTCATTGTGTTCATCTAAAATACAAGAATAGAATATAATAACATATAACGATCGTGAAATGTAAATTTATATCTAATTAAACGGCGGTCATAACACAGAATCATAGAAATGCTTGTCTTCTAATAACTACCAAAATGGGGCCACATATTAAACGTTACTAGGCTAGCCGCGATTCAACCGAAAAAGAAACGTATTTTCTACTTATTTATAAATTTATACCCAGTTCGTTTCATCGGGTCTCAAGATATCATGGTCGTAGTTACGTAAATCACGGTTTCGAGTGTACCTATGCATTTACAGTTATTAGACGATTATTTGAAAAATATTGTGCTCTAATTTCTCTGTGAAATTAATTGAAAAAATTACCAAATGTACCTTAAAATATACCTAAAATAATCTCGAAGTTAACCCTTACTCCGTAAACGTTTTTCCCGTTGCCTCAAAACATAAACAAAGACTTTTCATTGTGTACATATCTTTCTAAAAATTTGAAAAAATTCATGTATTCTCTTCAAATCTTTCGAACCAAGTTTAGAACGAAACATTTTAAAAATAACTTACTTAAGTAGATTATTATTACAAATATTAATTGAAACATATACGATTAAAAGATCAAAACTTTTAAGAAAATTATGATAGAACAAAGAATCGAATACCAATTGATATCGAATGTTCAGACTTTCTTAAAAAAGTAGTCTATATTTCTGGATCGCAGTTAAATGCTTAAGTTTTTGGCATGAATAATCGTAACGTTTCAATTAAATTTTTCTTCAGACGCGGGTCCCAAATTCCATTTTATCTCGTTTCTCATGGATAATGCTACGTAACCTCTGTCTACCTCCGTTCACGATGGCGCATACTAACGAACACATAGAAGGAATCCACGACGATAGATAACGAGGGGACTCGTTAACGACTTTTGCGCAGATCGAGACGGCGGTGGTCGCGGCTCGTATATCGGCTCTCCCACAGGGCTGATTCCTTCTCCGTCTACCTCTTCGTGGATCACCACAAGGCGGGGGCAGGGATCCAACGACGGTACAATCCGCGAACGACCCCGCGTGTGACCCCCGCGACTTAGCCATCGATTCTCTATATGGCGTTATAATCGTGACCGCGCTGCCGCCGACCGGGAAGAGGTTTGCTCTCTTGGATAGAAAAACAGTTAGATGGCGATAAAATGAAAAAAAATTAATTCATGAATCACTTTTAAATTACAATAAAATAATTTTTAGAAAGAAAAATGTAACCGACTTCGAAAAACATTAAAACTGCACTAAAAAGTATGAAATAATTTCTAGTTAATTTATATGAATACTTACCAGCTCTAGATATAATTGCTTCAAAGTATGACAATGTGCAGTGAAAACTATAAAATAATTTCTGTTTAAATTGCCTTATTACTCACCAGCTCTTGGCGAATTTGGTTAAATTATTAAATACAGCATATTAAATACAACGCAACCTTTTCGGAGGCGATAAACACGTTCGATCTTTGATTGTTCAATAAAGTAAAATCCGCCGTCATCTAACTTTGTTTGGCAATAACTTTGCAATAAAGCGTTTCTAAACAAACTTTAAATATTTCTCTGAACACTTCTACGGATGTCTCTTACATGTGTTTCAGCTGTAGAAAATAAAATATTTCCGTTTTTTTAATAGCGGTTCTTATATATTACATTTATTCTTATATTACAATTCCATTCTTTTAAATTACATTTATATATATATTCATAAAGTCATACATTAATGCACTATACAACAACGCAGATGACAAAAATTATACAAATGGCACGCAAATGAATTCGATAAGTAATTAATGTATCAGGTATTTATTCGATCGTTTCTCGAGAAACTGACATTTCGGAACGAACGACGCCAGTAACCAGATAGAACAGCCATGAGGATTGCGGCTATTACACGAGAACTTGCTATAATGCAACAACATTTACCAAAGGTAAGAAATTTGATAAACAATTACATATATTAATTTAATGTGGAGGATATTAAACGATACTGTAATTGATAAGACACCTGACAAGAAAACGGTAGCATAAAAAGCCTAGCTAATTTATTTTTATGTATGTTTTTGGCTGAAATATTTTGATAAAAGGATTCTACAAAAGGAGCGTTAGAATGTTGCTTTTTGATAAAACACAAATTACGTCGTTTAAATGTCTATCGCGGCTACGCTAACACACATATTTTATTAAAAAAGCATAATCTAAAAGAACATTTTGGATTACTCACAAATTTTATTAAATAAATTTTGTTTTATCGCGATAAAAAATAGAGCGTTCGATTGAAATGCGTTTCGCCATACGATGGTTTTGAAAATGTATTGTTTATCTTGTAATATTTTTAATATTTCATACGTAAACATCTAACAAACGTTTCTCATGAAATTCGTTTCTATTGTCATTAATCTTTTGTCACAATAATGTAAATAAATGTAGGTGTAATTTTGTCAATGGCATGGATTACTCAGAAGTATATACACATCTACGATGCAGTTCACTTTTAACTAGGAACACTAGAACATATATCTGTATTCTATAGTAAACTCGTTTATTGTTAGTATTTGTCATTTGCCATATATGGGTCCTATATTTCTTTCTCACTTTATACGGAGATATTATCAGTAGCAACCAAATATTGAAATTGTAATTTATGTGTATCACTTACAGGTCATGTTTTATAAAGCAGTAACTACTGTGAGATCAGTAAGTTCGATTGCGCCGCGACACGTTTATTCGCATGATGGCGATAAGAAGGAGGACCAGGTTAGTGAATTATCTAGAAAACAAAAGATTAGTCTCACGTTAACTAACTCGATGCGGCATCGAAACTAGGATCTTGTTTTCTAATAAAACATAAGTGGTATGGAATATATTTAATATTATTTTCTAACTTTAAACAAAAGTACATATGACTGGAATTGTGATATATTGAGTGAACTGTCGATACAACCCCTTTGGTATTAGTACCACATAACTTTATTACCTCGATAGCACAATTATATATTGTATAGATACTTTTAATTAATAACTCTTTCCATGAGTTACTTGTCAGCATTTTGTTGATAAACTTGAAAAATATGAAGAATATTACATAAATGAGGATGATTTTATTTAAATGCCTACCACGACCACACTAACTCTTCTGAGTTTTATTGAAAAACAAATTCCTGGAGCCCTTTTTGGAAAACCCTCGATGCCAACCTTCAACGCAACAAAACGATTTTGAATAATCTATTGTAGGAGTTTCTGCGAAAAATAAGGCACGGTGATTCGAATCCACAGTCGATCGTTTTTCCTGCACGACCAATCCCGCACCTTACGATTCGTGTTTTTGTTTTACTCCTTATTTCTGGGTATGGGGACGCGATACTACACTATTCGTATACGAAGAAGCTCGTAAAAGTTTGATCTGAAAGTCCTTTCGTAGGCGTTGCTGGCACCCATCAATTATGTTTATCAAGCTTGTTCAAAAGATGGCAGATTGGAGTTCAATAATGCTTTTAATTACTGGCTCAAAGTACCACAGAATAAATTTGACGAAATCCAAGATCTGGTACAGATACTTTATAATGTTTCGCTCATGTAAGTTTGCTAGATGTCATTAATTTCTAGAGTTCGCTGTTGTCTAACTTCACTTCTATTAAATTATCTCAATGCTTACAGGATCGATGACATTCAAGATTCCTCAACTTTAAGATCCACGGTCCCCGCTGCTCATCATCTCTATGAGATGGGCGCTACGATCATTTGTGGCCTTTATGCTATTAATATAGTTTACGAAAAAATTAATGCTTTGAACCATCCAGAGGTGAACAATATTATGAGCACTATTCTTTCCGTTTATGCAATGGTATTCATCTTATTATTATTACAATTAGGCATTGCGTGTATTTCTCGATGTGATGAACACATCGTACAGAGGCCAGGGTATTGAAATCTACTGGAGAAATAATTATATTTGCCCATCTGAAACAGAGTATCGGAAGATGGCTGATGGAAGTAAGTGAGCAATAACCAAATTCTGCATATAAATAGTTCCTTCAAACGGGACGTTCGAAGTTTTTTTTTTCTGTTAACTTTAAATAGAAGTGCACGTAATTACTATTATTGCTATTAAATAACACAACTCTAAAGTCCCTTTTGGAAAACTCATTAAACATAAGAATTATGAATAACGAATTGACGTGTTACAGAGATTTCACTATTTGTCAAGATGTTTGTTAGCCTCTTGCAGCTGTTCTCTAATTGTAAAGAAGACTTTGCACACTTATTAACAACCATAAACATTTACTATCAAATTCGTAATGATTACTTCAATCTATATCACAAAGAGGTAAGTCTAATTGAATACATATATTTATTGAACCTATACAAATAATTCGGAAAGGTATGTTTGTTAACATAAACTAACACCATAATTTTAAGTAAGTAGTTTTGCTTGTAGTGGAACATACTGTTATAAACAAAAAAATGTCTAGCTTTAATTAAATTTTATTTAACAAATTTTTATAACTGGCATAGTAAATACAATCTAAATTTATGTAAATAATATAAATACTCAGTTAATCTATTCAAGCTTGATTTCTTCATAGTTAATATAGGTTTAAAATGGATACCTTTCCAAACTTTACACATTTAGTTTGTAATAACGTGAAAATCATTTTAATTAATAAGTGAATTTCATTATATTAGCATATATTAGTGTTGTATCACGTAATAATGACTTTTATAGTTCACAACGGATTCAAATTTTGCCGACGACATATCATCAGGGACTTTTACTTTCCCTGTCATACATGCTATACGAAATCATCCAGAAGATCAGCAGATAATACGTATCCTTCTTCAGGTTTAAATCAGTAGAGATTATAGTATGTATTTACAAGAAAAGGGGAGGGGTTGATGAGAAATCAAGAAAAAATTTGAAGTTTAAAGGACTCGAGTAACAGTAACAATAAATTAATAGTTACTTTTTTATTGATAGGATCATGTTTCCATTGTCATTCTTCTTGACCTCACGTTAGAGTAGATTTACATTTTGTTATTTTGTATCTATGGAGTATACATATAAAGCTTAAGTGAATGTAGTAGCCCTCCCCTTTTTATCTGGTATTGATATAATTTGATTTTATTTAAAGTAATTTTGTTTTCAAGTAAATAGCTTGTTATTCCTTAATTGTGATAAACAAAGACATTTTGAGGCGACGGACGAAGGATTTATGCATGAAGCGATACTGCATTGAACTACTAGAACAGTTTGGATCCTTCGATTACACAAGAGCTACCCTTGAAGAAATGGATAAACAAATAAGAAAAGAGATTCAGCGTTTAGGAGGTAATCCTCTGTTAGTGAAATGTATGGATGATCTACTGGATTGGAAGCAGTGAAACGCTCCGTACAAATGCAGGAAAGTTACATGTTGATGCGTTGACTATCATCCTGATGAAAATCTCTTAGAGGAAATTTTTAACATTTGTGGCAGCAGTTATTTTTGCAACTCCATTAGAAACTATCGAATCTTATACATATAGCAGTCCCAGTAATATTAAGGGTATGAATCTGTGTGTGTGCATATATGTCCAGAAACATTTGTGTTTGGCGCCAGCGACACTGCAGACATTGAAAAAATTTTAAATACAAAACTTAGTAGTTTTTAACATTGTATACCACCGACAAACCATTAAATTCTTTATTCAACAGTTTTTCGATATTCCTTATGGTTTCAGAGATACTAGCAAAAATATAAATAATCGTTAACAATAAGTCATGCTATATTGTGCAAATGTAAAGTATCAAATTTAATTACTCCTTATCCAACTTTTAGTTTAAGTACATAAATCGTTTTATAATACAAAAATCCATGTTATTTAATGTTTTATACTCATTTTGAAGTTGAATGGCTAACGCGATTGTATTGACATCTACGCTTGGACGACAGTTGAATTCAATCGGTACGTATATTTTACCCGTAAGTATACTTTAATTATTTTATCATCCTATAGCTGGTAAATTACTGTACAATTAATCATAAGAGTTTTTAATACTGTCTAGCGGTTCCATAATCAATTACTGTAATCAGAAGTATAACACGGGTTATATAAATTTTTAATAGTATTCTGAAAACAAAACTTTGTAACATAGTGTAGAATAAAAGAGAAAATAAGAGAACATATAGTCATAGACACTCTCGGGAAAAACCAGAGCGGTCGACCATCCGAAGGTACCGAGAATCATAAAACACGGTACGCGCTATGCGGCCAACGCTGATTGGTTCGCTGGAGATGGTCAAAAACCGTACAAAAATATAACTTACTTCGAAAACCATTAAAACTGTACTAAAAAGTATGAAATAATTTCTAGTTAATTTATATGAATACTCACCAGCTCTAGATATAATTGATTAAATGTATGATAAAATGCAGTGAAAAGTATGAAATAATTTTTATTTAAACTGCATTATATATCTTTGATGTAACTCGGCAAGGAATTTACCGATCGCGATAAATCCTTTCACATTTAGTGGAATAGACAAATAAGATAAACACGTTCGACCTGTGATTGTTCAATAAAGTACAATCCGCCGCCATCCATTCTAACTTTGTTTGGCAATAACTTTGCAATAAAGCGTTTCTAAACAAACTTTAAATATTTCTCTGAACACTTCTACGGATGTCTCTTACATGTGTTTCAGCTGTAGAAAATAAAATATTTCCGTTTTTTTAATAGCGGTTCTTATATATTACATTTATTCTTATATTACAATCCCATTCTTTTAAATTACATTTAATCATATATTCATAAAGCCATACATTAATGCACTATACAACAACGCAAATGACAAAAATGATACAAATGGCACTCAAATGAGTTCGATAAGTAATTAATGTATCAGATACTTATTCGATCGTTTCTCGAGAAACTGACATTTCGGAACGAACGACGCCAGTAACCAGATAGAACAGATAAGTAAATAAATAATATTTGTTTTATCGTGAAAAAAAGTAGAGCGTTCGATTGAAATGCGTTTCGCCATACGATGGTTTCGAAAATGTATTGTTTACCTTGTAATATTTTTAATATTCCATACGTAAACATCTAACAAACGTTTCTCATGAGATTCGTTTCTATTGTCATTAATCTTTTGTCACAATAATGTAAATAAATGTAGGTGTAATTTTTTCAATGGCATGGATTACTCAGAAGTATATACACATCTACGATGCAGTTCACTTTTAACTAGGAACACTAGAACATATATCTGTATTCTATAGTAAACTCGTAGATTCTACCCTTGAAGAAATGGATAAACAAGCAAGAGAAGAGATTCAGCGTTTAGGAGGCAATCCTCTGTTAGTGAAATGTATGGATGATCTACTGGATTGGAAGCAGTGAAACGGTCCGTTCCAAGGCAGGAAAATTACATGTTGACGCGTTGACTGTCACAGTAGTAAGCTGTTGATGGTATTGTAATTAAGTTTGGCGAATTGTGTGTTGCTGTGAATTTGTACCTTCTATAACAGTAAACCTTTTTTTTTATAAAAATTTATTATAAGTACATAAATCGTTTTATAATAATTTATTTTCACCACGATTTAATTTAGTTTTATCCTGATTGTTCAAGCCATCTCGGCGTAATCGGGGAGCAGACGTTAAAAAAAAAAAAACAGAAAAAAAAGTATACATGTCGAATTAAGTAACCTCCTCCTTTTTCGAAATCGGTTTAGAATCGTCGATACGTCGAAACGTTAAACGCCTACTAGCGTCCAGGAAGCTAGCATCGCCGCGCACCGCGGACTCCGGGTGTTATTGTGGGTTAAAAGCTCGGGGTCGACCATTTGCGGCCGACAGACTACCGTGGCAGATCGTAATGAACAATTGCTGTCGTGATTTCAATCGGATGTTTTGTCTTCTGGTGTTGGTAAACGACTGTGTGGGCGTATATGCGCCGTATGATTGTTTTCTCTTCGTTTGCGCTCGGCAATGATCGTTTCGTCGAGTTCACGATACGTGCAACTTCAGATAATATGGGCAGGTTTAAGTTGATGTCAATCTAATAAAATATCAGGGTATCATAAAAAAATATTACACTTTTCGAAACCTGAATTAATTACAATTCGGACGATCCGATATGTTTTTGTTTTATCTTAACCCTGTCAGGCCTGGTGTACATTTATTTATTTATTTAAGCAGATTACACAAATAGTAATAAATGATTTTGCGTACATCTGCACGCAGTTTGGTACAAACTAAAAACTAATACCAATCTAAACTTAAGTCTATTTGATATTGATTATTTCAGTATTGCAGCAGCATTCCCTGAAAATAATTAAAGTATTTCACGTAAGGTGTAATACTTAAATTCCTCAAATATATAGTATTGGGTAAATCTTTCCACAAAAAGTTTGAACATCATGATACGATAATAAAAGCGTGTGTAAAATTTCAAATAAAAATCTTGCATACTTTCTTCAATAAAAAATGACGAAGAAATCGCTTTATTGGCCCGAAAGAAAGCAATTCCCCCTTAATTAGTATTTACAGTTCGCCCACGCAAAGTGACTATCGCCTCTCAAAAGCAGATAGAAAATCGCCCACTTCGAGGTGTCACTCATCTACGTTGACTAACAATGCTTTACATTATATGTACGTACATATTACCTACTAACATATTTTGCATACTTTTCATACATCCGCGCATAACTTTCTCGCATAAAAAGCAAACACGTTTCGCGTATCTTTCGTGCTCGACCATCCTCAGCCCGATGATATCACAAGTAACGTCATCCACGAATCCCGAACGATTCGAGAGTGTCGTCGATTAATCGACGATTTATCACAACATACGAATTATTGAACATGTTATTCTGCTCTGGATACGTTCTTTTCATTATACACGTGCAAACTTCTTTTTTATCAACGTTTCTGTGCATCCTCTACCCGATCACGTGGGTAATTTCGACGTTGGAACGGTTACCAGCGAGCGAAGCTCATCCAAGGATGGTCTCGGTCTTCGACGCTCTCTCATTAGCATAGCAACGCGGAAACACAGCGTCGCGCGGTGGACGTACGCATGAAACTCACGATCCCCCGTCTTTGTGCCGTTTCCACGAGGATTCCGCTTGCGTGTACGTACACATAGGCATCGTCTTCGGGTCGATCATCGGTGTCGATAGCGCGGGAGAATCGTGGAAACAACAGCTGTCTCCCCGTGTCTCGAGGATGTTCGACGCATTTCAAATTCTTGGCCGACGCCGACGGCGCGCTTCCAACGAAGAACAATCTCCTCGCCGGTTTTGCGAAGCATTTGCGGTATTCGCTGGAACTGGACAGTTAAAACTACAGATAATCGATTTGCACGAGTAAGGAGAACAGTTACAGAGCCAAGAGGAGACGATTTAGAGAATATTTGAGTAGGAATTTTGACAAATATGGTGAGTAATGCTTTGATATGAATTAGGCAACATTTGACGCTATCTCTTTGAGACGAAGAAAATTCAGGGATATATATTGTCCAAATGGCTTATAGAGGAAGGATATTGGATATATCTACAGACTGTTTCCAGATACGTGGGATCTTTTTTGAGGATCAAGTCTTCCCATCGATACAAACCGAAAAGTTCTTTACCATTTTGCGATCAGAGGTTTTGTTATCGAGATACGAGCAGTTGAAATTTACAGGAATGACTTTCGGCCCGCGCTGTTTGAGTCTCGATCAGCTGTTCGCGCGGTGGCACATGTACGCACTTATGTAGAAGAAACACATACCGATTCCATTATCATCTAGTTAGCACAGGTTGAGTCAATGACCTCGTACTATTCAGTCTCCCAGATCATTTTCAATTGCATTTTTTCAGCAAAAGTAGCTTCTTTACCTTTTTTTTATTGAAGAAATTCTTGAAGATTATAACTTGAAATTTTACACACACCTTACTTATTGTTTTAGTATGATGTATCAATTTTTATGGAAAGGTTTTGCCACAATTATAAATGTTACAGCCGCTACATTGTTACGTTGACCGCGACGATACAGAAAAGATGTTGGCCACTCTGATATGATTTCTGCACCCCAAAAAGACTGAAATAAAAAATTCAACTGGTATAATGGTCAAGAGGGTCATTTTTCTAGAAATGGTAGTTGGTAAAACTCAAATGTTCAAATTTTCAGGAAAAGTGTTTCGAATTTTTAACAATCAAGAAAATCATATAATATATCATTTCGTCTATTCGTTAGGCGATTAAGAAATCATTTCTGAATGTACAGTTCAACATTCAAGTCGATCCGTCGTATAGGTTTTCTGAAATCGTGTCAACCAGCTTCGAAGATACGTTTTCGAGAAAAGAACGTTTAAAGCTCCTATTACGTTTCTAATTCTAATTCATTATATTTCACGAAGTTTTGCTTGAAATTTTGCACAATTGTTGCTCATGGGTTGCATCATAAGATTCTGTTTAAAAAAAACATCGATTTTTTGACTTGATGAAAAATATAATTCCTTCTTAAGTGTTTGAAAAACTTCTAACAATTTCATGATATTATTTCGAAACAAAGAAAGCTTAGAGGCGCATAGCGTTCTAACTTTTGCCATAGGTAGGGTTACATGGGACGTGAAGGAGGGTACTGTTACGGAGTAACCACTATTTGATAGACTTATACATGCAGAAATAAAAATAAAGAAGCGTCACGTGATTACAATTTTGCTCGTCACTGTACCTGTTCACGAGTGACGTTGCATTCAAAGTATGAAAGGTTCTCCGAAACAGCA